AAACTAGACTACCATGGAAAATCAGGAAGCATTGGAAGACACAAGAATCCTCATCAGTGCGGCGATCCCGTCGCGCGAGATTCGAATCCAGGACTTATCGGTTTCATACGCGAGCGCTTAACCTCTAGACCACTGAGTGGGCATCCAACGGTATTAATGTATAACTTCAACTAATCCACGAAATTGAGCAACACATCCACCGTTGTCTTCAGTGAAATACTATCTCACAACAGACTCGGTTGAACTCCACTGGTCACTGTTTCTCACTTGGACTTCAGGAAATACCTTTTTGGAGGAGTCCCGATATAGAAAGAAACGGCCATCCAGTGTTTCCAAGTTTTCCATGATGGTCTAACTTAAATTGACTCATGATCTCAATCTGATATGTTGTCACTTTTACATACTATTTAAGATTCAGAAACTATGAAAATATAATTCTTCACTATTCTCTAGTTTATGTGAAAGACTACTTTCAAACTCATAAAAACCTCTTGAGTAATTCATGAAGTTGGATATTAACACCACTGGTTGCCGACTCAGTGGTCTAATGGTTGAGTGCTCGCGTGCGAAACCAGTAGGTCCTGGGTTCGAGTCCCGCGGGGGGCGGGATCGTGGATACTCACTTCTGAGGAGTCCCATACCAGGAAGAAATGGCCGTCCAGTGCTTTCAGGCTTTCCATGGTGGTCTAGCTTCAATTGACTCATGATTTCAACCAGTGAAATTCATGAAATGCTATGGGTTCTTGTCAATTGTGTCAAACTTTAAAATAAGGATTATAAAGATTAGAACGATAATGTAACACATTGATATTCTCCTATATTCAGTAATGATGGGTTCACCAATTTCTGATTCATAAATTAGTCACCACATTAAATCATCAAGATGAACATTCATGACACTGTTTCCGGTCACTAATATTTGGGACAATAATTGAATGAACTACAAAGTAGTGAAACTATACTAAACATTAGAACTTCCATAAGATAATTGAAACTGTTTTGTTCATCAACTAATATATACTACTGAAATACTCTTTTTATTAAAGAATTATTTACTTATAGTTACACTTATAAAATGTGTATTTATTATTAGAAAAGAAATTGATATACAGAATAGAAGAAAGTACAATCAAGATAAATACCATATGATTAATAATCGTATCATCTTTGAAAAGAAAACAACAACACGATAACAATCCTAATGAAAAGGTCATCTTTAATAATACTGCCGACAAATTGATAGACAGTTACTTCTCTCTAACTCTATAACTAGACACAAATTCTTGTCTACAATTGTGTATGTGTATGTATGTGATAGAGAGAGAGAGATTAATATGCCGTAGATTCATGTTATCTATTGAAGTTTGCTATTATCACTATTATTATCATTATGATGATGATGATAATAATGATCAGTTAAAATATTAACAACAATGTACAAATCGTTCGATGGACTGTTTTCTTCAATTTGCTACTTTACAGTATCTTGTTCACTAACTCACTGATATTCATTCATTCATTTATTTATTCCGCCTATTTGTCATTTTATCGTCCGGTATTGTTTATCAAAATGAAAAGTTGAAAGAAAGAAAACAATAGTGAACAAAACAAAACAAAACAAAAGATGATCAAACAGTTTTCTATACACTACACTTTTATTTTTAAATCACCTGCTCCCCCCACCCCACCCCACTTGAAAATTTTTTTATTTTTGTTTAGTCGAGTACAAAAGAAAATACCGTCATATATTTTCTTTTTTTTTGATCTTGTTATCATATCCATTCTTACTTTTAGTTATCTTTTATTCTGTTCATTATCAATATCATTAAAATATTTTAAGGCACCCACTATTAGCTAATACACATACACACATAGATAGATAAATTGACATGGATGATTATTACCATTGAAGATACATAGAAATAAGTATCTATGTATATAGGTAGAATATTGACAATTAAAGTAGTATGTTATACCAATAATATTTTTTCGCGCCCTATTTGATCTAATTATATTATATTATTCCTATTTATTTGTTGATTATTGTTAGTTTCATCAAAAGAGGAATACAAAAGACGCTATTATATGAATAGTATGTGGATTGATCGACTGATTACTATCAGTAAACTAGAAGAAAGAAAACATATACTGTTGTAGAAGAAGAAGAAGAAGAAGAAGAAGAAGAAGAAGAAGAAGAAGAAGAAGAAAGAAAGAACAATCTTGAAAGATGAAAGTGTTCCGACAATTTTTTTTTGAAATTTCCTTTCAGAATATTCATTTATTTACACCAAACCTATCAATCAATACTAATCAAATCGATATGATATGATTGATTGATTGATTTATCATTGAATGAATGTAAATGGTCATCAATAGTTATTTACATAGATAATAAGTATTAAATAAACAGTGTTAACTATGAATTATTAACAGTATGGGATTGTGGAGATTATCAAGTTTTTGATTAGGATCATGAATCGATTAACGTTAGATCATCACTGAAAACCTAGAAACACTGAACAGCCGTTTCGTCCTAATATAAGACTATGAATTATTGTAAATATTCAAAATGAATTCAATTCATGAAAATGTTGTTATTTCATATAGTTTGTTATTCATCGGATGTATTCTACTCGTACATGAATATGGAGTCGATCAAATCGGAAGTTAGGGAATTCCTATCAACAGCCTCCAAGTACTTAACAATACATCATAAATTTTATAAATTTGAGAATATGAGTAAGTGAATATTAATCTAATTGTCTGAATGGTGTCATGTTCACCAAGTATATAGTTGTCAATATACATTATTAAATGGTTTCAAATCAAAGATCAACTAGGTATTCCGGTCATAAACGGTGTAGAAACTAATACAAACGTGAGTTAATCCAACTTTGCATATCACATCAATACAACGAGATGTAACTAATAAGATGAATACCAAAGGAAACTAAATAATCTTATTAATGATCATAATGAAAAAGACTAATCATTATGATTTTTGATTAAGATCATGAACGAATTGATGTTAGACCACCACAACTGAAAACCTGGAAGTGCTGGATGGCCGATTCGTCCTATTGTAGGACTCCTCAGCAGTGCGCATCCACAATCCCGCTCGCGGGGTTCGAACCCAGAGCCCTCAGTTTCGCGCGCGAATGCTTAACCTACTGGACCACTGGGCTGGCATCCAATGGTATTAATGTCTATATTGATAATCATTATGAGTCCATTTTGAAGAAACTAAATGAAAGGAAACACTTTGTGAAAGAAAGATAAAGAGCAAATCCATATCCATCATTTTCTGATCAGTTCTATACCATATCTAAACCATATCTCCAAACAATGATTGTAATCATCACACTAATTCCAAATAAATAGTATCCTTCACTTATCAACATAACTCCCTACTTTGTAACAGTTTTCCATTTAACAACCGTTTACAATTTTAAAAAATTAAATTATCCAGTCTGATAATTAAACTAGTGTAATCCTATAAATCACTTGCAAACTGTTAAAATATTTAAGAAAACATTCATGTGACAGCCTTAGAAGAAGGAATATAAGAGTATAGGCTAGGTGTTTAAGAACTCCTAACTAACTTACACACAAGTGTCTTATTAATTCATATAAGATGAACATATACTTAGCGAATCACTTCACAGTCCATCTTTTTTTTGTTTTTGATTAGTTAAACCGCTTCATAACCTTAAAGTCTTTCGGTAATTTTCTTAGAATTTACCCAAAATACTTCAAAATTTTAAAGTAAAGTGGAAAAAACCTATTCACAATAATCTATTTCAATAGATCAATATCTTGTAACCCTCCCCCTCCCCCTTTAATGTACAAGTAATAATTATGTATAGTTTCTGTAGGAACAAAAATTAATTTTTCCTTAAAAGTTGATTAATTGTACTTGTTTTTTTAAAAAATAATATTTCCTAAATTATGTTTGAAACTTGAATGGTATTATTGAATATTGGACAATATGAAGTTAAACTGTCCGTTAATAAACAAAGATAAATAGTGGTTAGTAGTGTAATCTAGGACGTGCGTTTCATCTTATTTGGGACTCGTCAGAGTTGATGTTCACCCCGGGACTCGAACTTAAACACCACCGCATTATCCATTTATCTCTACTGAATCCTGATAGCTACCTGTTTATGTAATGGGGTGAAATTTTAAATTCACTTGTATCTTTCTATTGCTATTTAGGATTGTAATTGATCACTCTCTGATTGGCAACACACGTACTGGATTCCATTGTTAACCACTAATAATCGTTGTTTATAAAGCTTGTGAATTAAGGCAATATTTAGGCAGTCCGCACAGGATACACATATGAGAGACTAATCAATTGCAAATTTTAAATAACAATGGAAAGATACAAGTAAACAGCATCAAGTGAGTTTATCCGTTAACAACATTATAATGTAGATATAACACATTACCGTATTATTATTATTCGTTCTTAATGTTAGAATATTTATTATTTCAGATGAAGAAATGTAATTCAAAAAAAGATAACAATGTTCTCTAGAATTTGTAAAAGCGGTATCTATAAACGATTTTAAGCTTATATCGTATAGGCAGATGGTCAATGAATTGATAACTAATACAATAAGTTGTTCTTAGGACTAAAATGAATTAATACCAATAAAGTCTATACACGATTAGTTGAAAGTTACATTTGTCCGCCTGGAGCTACTGCCGGTCCCAAACCCGGATAAAGGAGGAGGGTTGGACATGCGGTTAGCAACCCCATCCCGTAGAAAACTAACTCACTAAAAGAACGCTAACCAGAAAGTAAGTAAGTAACGATTAACGAAAATGTCTCATTGCACAGTTTACATTTTACGCATAAATCAAATTGAAAATATAACTATACAAAGTTATTATATTTTGATTAGATACATACACAAATCGGTACAAGTATATATATATATATATTTTTCATTATTCAAAATAAATATTACACTTTTTTGCAATTAATCACTCACTTTTGATCGTCCGACCATTCCAGATGATGAAGATGATGATAATGCATCTGCAGATAATTGATGTTGACCAAATCCTGTTAAATTTGTTCCACCATGCCCGCTTGGCAAATGTCCGATAAAATTTTGTGAATTATTATTAGTATTATTATTAAAATTGCCTGATAACCCAGATGGATGATTTGTATAAGGTGAACCAAGATGTGGTGGTCTAAGTTCACTACCACCTCCAAACCCCGATGGATTTGAATACAAGCCAGGATAGTTTGAATGATTACCATGATGTGGATGGAGTTGCTGTTGATGGTGATTATGATGTAATTGTTGTTGTTGTGCGTAATAACTTGAAGAGTCTGAAAAACCAGACATTGGGGAATTATGCGGATTAGGATTATATCGTGGATCACCACCACTACCACCACCTCCAAACATTGAATGGAATGCATTACTGGATCCAGCAGGTAAATTCGAACATGGATACATACCGCCTAATCCTAATAATCCACCCATTTGTGTTACAGACGATGCTGCAGCAGCGGCAGCAACTGCCGCGTAGGCAGCTGCTGGGTCACCATGAAATCCTGAATGATGCTGATGATTATTATTATTATTATTTGCAAAATTTCCAATATTTGGATGAGATAAATTATGTTGCATATTCAATCCTCCATTTGAATCATCAATTAAATTATTAAACAGATTCGTTGTTGGTGTTGTTGTTGTAGAATGACCACTGGGAAGATTTCCATGTTGTAACCCTAACGATGTATTTGAATTAATTATTGATTGATTCATTGAACAATTAACAGGTTGTGGACTATTACCTGAACCAGTTGATCCAGCAGAATCTCTATCTTCAATTACTAAATCAATCGGCATTTTACCGCGTAAACATGTTATATAACGAGAACAGAAGTTATCACAGAGTTCATGAACCTATATTAAATTGAGTAATAGTTAAAGATATATATATATATATATATATAAAGAACACATTAGAACGTAAATCTAAAATTTATAAATAATACTTGTTTATGATAAAAATACTTTATCATCTATTATTGATTTATTTATTTATACAACCCAATCATACTTGATGAAGAAACGCTGGAAGAGGTGGAATCTTTCATGTACCTGGGAAGCGTCATCGATAAATAAGGAGGATCCTATGCAGACGTAAAGGCAGGAATTGGCAAAGTAAAAGCAGCATTCATACAGTTGAAGAATATATGGAACTCAAAACAACTTACTGTCAACCAACACCCAAGTTGAAATCTTCAATATGAACGTCAAGTGCACGGAGCTGAAACTTAGAAAACTACTAGAACTATCATCAGCAAAATACAAGTATCTATAAACTGTTGTCTACGTATGATACTGAATGTCTGTTGGTCGGATATGATCAACAATAGCCTATTACGGCAGAGAACAAATCAGGTCCCATCTGAAGAAGAAATCGCGAAAAAAACGTTGGAAGTGGATAGGGCATACATTACGGAAATCATCAAATTGCATCACGAATCAAACTCTAACTTGGAATCCTGAAGGGAAACGAAAAAGAGGAAGACCAAAGAACACACTGTGTCGAAAACTGGAAGGAGACATGAAAATGATAAATATAACTGGAACCAACCGGAAAGGATTGCCCAGGACATATTTGGATAGAGAATGATGGAGGGCGATATATGCTCTTCCACGAGGGGGTGACAGGTGCAAGTAACAAGTAATATATCATATAAAGTATATAGGATTTGCGGGGATTGTTGAATTTCATAGTTTTCATCATAGATTGAACCTGATGATGGGTCTATAATTTGTGTACGATATTTGAGCGAGGGTTAAGTGAATTTGAGAATGTCCAATTACTTGCTACGGCTAAATAAGAGCTATAAATTAGTGTGAGGAATTAAGATTAAGATTTACAATCGGACGTCAGGGTTAGGACTTAGAGTTTGGGTTTTTATTACAATAATGGAATCCACGTCATGCATTTAATTCTATTCGGGACTTGTCAGGTGAATGTACCTGAATTTCAGTGATAAACATGAGTGTAAACAAAACGATCCTCCTTGAGTTTTCTGCTAACCACAGATCACGTATTACTGAAAACCTGCTACTTAACGTTATACTGAGGCGATTTTCTAAGGATGCCAATTTAACAACAGAGATCGATCAATTACAGTCCTGAATATTAATAATAGTAAGGTACGAACCATTACTGAAATAAACAGTGTGCTTTGTGATGATTTACTTCAATTCAAAACTTACTTTCATCACATATCAATATTGACTGGGGGGACTACTGAAAATCGGTAAACATTGAACAGTTGTTTTGTCCTATTTTTCTGGGTCACTTCTGTTTAACAGTGGATGATCACAACACTACACGTGGTGAAATGTAGGGTAGTGTTTTTAAACGTGTCTTAGAGAATTCGATACTTACTTCAGTGACTTTGGAACATAATTTAAGGATCATGCAATTTTCTCTCTCTTGGTAATTAATATTATTATGGTATATATTTATGTATTCAACTTAGATCTTGACTGATTGTATGCATGGTCTAGCAACACTAAAATCAGTCTAAATCGAACTAAGTGAAATAGGATTTGATTGTATAACATACTGGTCGAAAGTCAGTCAGATGCTACAACTTCTATAAAGCTACTATTTAACTTTTGGTTCATAATCTAAAGTTCGCAAAAGATGATATCATCTCACAATAATAGATGATGATATAATTTAAAGTCAACTATTAACTGATCAGAACTGATCATAGGACATCGTATTTCTATACAATGATTTTACAACTGAGTAAAATGAAAATATCAATCAGTCTTGAGTATGAAGGCATATTTCACTTCCCGGCAATTAACACCGTAAAAGGGTTCCTCTAGAGGTACTCGAAAAGGAAATTGTGTTAGAGTTGATCTTAGTGACCTGTGACTGCAGTATCAGTGCTTGAGGACAGTCACATACAACCTTTGGTAATTTTCGTGTTAGCTCCGTACTTGTTGGGACCTTACCTCCGGAGACGGAAATCCGTAAGATAAGATGCGGTGTGCCATTTTTGGGGTCGACTTTTTCTAACCACATCCATCCTTGTGGGAAGGCAGCATCGCTTTTATGCTGATTATCTGAAGGAACCACCTTACTGCCATCACATCTCTGTACAATCAGCAGTAAGAGTTCTTCCTCGAACTTTGTGTTTACTGATTTTAGTCTTACCGCTCTTCAACCAACCTATCTGGCATGGTAGGACCTTGAGGAACGATTGTTCTAGCCAGTATAGCTCGATTAATTCATCACGATAGAAAAGTCTAACCACCACATCAAGGGATTCAGTAACGGTTGGGAATGAAAATATACAGAGATCAAAGATAAAATATCAAATAAACAAATAGCATTGTAATTAGATAGACTAAACCAATCAATTAACAAATAAATAAATCACACCACACATATCACTTACTTTTTCTATTTCAAGAAGATGAAATCGGAGAACTTGAATAGCTTGAATTATCTAAATGTTGTATTAAAGCCAAAAAAAAGAAAAGAAAAGATGATGAAAAATAAGTATGCATATGTTGGGTGGATGGGTGGTTGTTGGGATGGTTGACTGATTATGGTAGAATATTAAACAATTAATTTTACAAAATAAATTTCATTCAGAATATTTGTGCATATGTGTGTGTGTATGTGTACATTTCACACAATTGAATGTGTGATAATCATGACAGGAATAACAACAATCTAATATACAAAACATAGAAAGAAAGAAAAAAGATAAACGTCTAATTGAGGAGAAAAATATGATATATGAGGTTGTTGTTGTTGTTGTTGTCTTAGATCAGTCTTAGATCATATTACTTAGATGTGAGTATAAAAAATAACGAGATATGCCAGAATTGATTTGTGTTTTTTTTTGTTGCTTTTTTTTCTCGAATAGGTGTAATCAGAATGAAAATTTATTGGAATTAATTAACCTATGCCAAATATGTGTATGTGTGCACGTATGTATGCGTGTTTGTGTGCGTATGTATAATATACATACACAAGCACACATACTCCCTCCCCCCCTCTTTAAATATCAGTTAACAACACATACATAATTTTACAAATACATGTAGTTGCAAAAAGAAAAAAAAACGGTTATCTTGTCTTTTTTTTCTATGCAAAAATTTTAAAAAAATTTTTGAAATGATTTTACAAATTCATTATTTGTAACTTTTTTTTGTTCTTCAAGGGAAATAAAGTGTAGATGTTTCATAACATGGCGCCAATATGAGAAAACGTGATCGATTATATCTATATGGATGTCTAGTTTAGATTTGTATTATTTATAGTCTAGTGCTTCAAGGTTTACAATGGTGGTCTAGCTTAAATCGATTCATGAATTCAACTATTACAATTACTACAATCTCCACAAATATCAATTCTGATAATAATAATAATAATCATGTGACTAGTTTCATAGTTTTAGTGAGAAGCCTTAATCAGTGTACTCCAATTCATGTCGTGTATGAGACAGTTATTTAACTCAGAAAATGGATGAAGGGTTATGTAAGATCATGAATCTATTGAAGTGAAACATTAACATTGTTCGATACTAGCCGGCTCAGTGATCTACAGATTAAATGTTCTCGCACGAGATCTAATATGTCGAATTCGAGTCCCATGTACAGGATCGTGAATGTGCATTGTTGAGCAGTCGCATACTAGGATATGATAACCGTCCAGTGCTTCCAGGTTTTCAATGATAGTCTAGCTTTGATCAATTCATGAATTCAACTATTAAAACTAAAGAAACGAATAACTCTGAGTAGTGTTATTCCAAGAAGAATTAACCATTCAGGAGTCTAAAAGGTATAAATAAACAAAATAAATGATAATTGGATATCATGTCTCTCAGTATGTCCCATTATCAGGCATAAACCAGCAAGAATCCCAGCCATAATAGGGTCAAACATTGCAATTTCATTCTTTTATTTGTAACTCACGATGACATTTCGATAGTTAAAGTGAATGCTACTTCGTCTAGAACTAATTTCAAATGAAATATACCAATATTGATTTAGAAAAATATTAAAATTTGTAGTCCAGTATGATAACTATCCACTGCCACAGATGACAGTTATTTTAACAGCGAGATGCTCGGAATCAATCAGTTACGACTTTTCAGTAGGGTTCAGAGAATACCTTGAAATTACTAGTAGATTGACTATCATAGTTTAGTTGAAGGAAGTTTGATGGAGATCTGGTTTGATTTGCAGGGTTCCCGATTAGACTGACATCAACCAGGGTATAGGTGAAGACCGAGAAACATTAGATGTTTTTTTGCCCTAGTTTCAACCTCCTCGATAATGTTCACCTACAAGCGCGCCAGAGTTCGAACACAGGATTTTCAGACCGTCCTGAGAACGTTCAACCCTCAGAATCACTGGATTTACGTACACTGATACATCTCAATAGAAATATACAAAAAGCAGATTGGCAACAGATGCGAAAAAAGTTAACTTACCAAAGAATCTAACTCGGGATCACCAGTGCGAATAGTTTTTTGGGAATTAACTAACTATAAGACAAAAAATACAGAAAAAGCGGAACAGTCAGACACCATTGATTAGAGGCTGAATTTTTTATTCAATCTTAATCTAAATGGGGTATTTTTATGGAAGGCATTGTTGTATAAACAACCATTTTTACATTCAATTAGTTAGAGATTTAAAGAGCAGTACAGGACAATCATTCTAAATTAGTTACGTGGTTAGATGCTTAAAGAGAGAGAGAGAGCTTTCAATTGTCTATTTACATCTTTCAGTGTGTACCGCCATCTGAACCATCTTCTTGTCTAGTCTCTAAGTATTTTGCCAATGTTATACTTTCACTGACTGAAACCTCTCAATTTGTCGAAAAATTCGAGGCCACCTTCCAAAACATACTACTTTCAAGCAATCATATGAGTAGCGTCCATCACATTAGTGCTACAAAAAAGGAGAGAAGTTTCCTTTGCGTAGTATATGTGCAACTAAACTATTCTCTTCATTTGCCTTATCTCTTCTTGCTTTGTCATTGAGGTATTACTCTATTCCACCTTTTTATCAATGTTATTTATATGAAACAGATGTGGACCAATTTTCAAATCAGAATTGCTATCTTATATACATTTTTATTTGTCCTATTTCTTGCTCTCACTCCTTCTCTCTCTCTCTCACACACACACACATACACACTATCTCTCTCCTGTTGATGCTGCTAACAAATTTTAAAGGAAATTCAAATGAACGGTTCGTATGTATTTATATGTGACCGTGTTTATGTGGGCACTTGGTTCAACGTATCTATTCGTAACATACATAAAGGGATAAAAAACTTAGTAAATAGTTGATTATCCATATGCTCAGAATATATATATATATATCCCACGTTCATAAGAATACATCGAAGGAAATTGATACTTTAAATTTTACAGGCGTAATAATAAAAAAGGTGTTCTGTGTTATTTTTTTTTTACCATTTTGGTCGTACACTAATAAAATATGGGCCCAGTTAGAGACTGTACCAGATAGTGGACTATTTAAAAAAATGAGGGTTCAAATAATCGTTTTATATGTGCTTGTATGTACCAGTAATTTCAGTGTTAAGTAGTATATATATATATCGTGAGACAGAATGATGAGTGAGACTGTTATAAGACCACGACCTATCTCACAGATATTTTCACTTCAAGTTATTATAATGGAACACAACAACTTGCATAATAATGAAAGATGATCACAGTTGAATGTCATTTTTTTAAAAAAAAGCAGATAACTGTTACAATTATGAATTAGAGTTATTTAATATTAAGAACATTGATACAATTCATATATGTAGACTAAACAAACCAATTAAATACTAAGTCATAAAGTACCATCTCAAGATTACATATACACCTGGCTGGTAAGTGACAAATAGAGTGAATCTTGGATCCATCGTTTTCTATCAACTACCACCTTACATCTCAGCATCATGCACCCGATGTTAAGTCACTTGAACTGGTGACTAAATCCCAATTTTGAACAATTGAATTCCATTATCATGAAGAAGGATTTGATATGTATGACATTACACACTATTCACTAATATTTCTTTAGGGATTCACATTTGTAGCATCATAGTTTATCACAGAGATATTCACAAATATTGACTAATCTTCTCATCGATTAAGTTATGAGTACACTAATGGATCATTATTATTCATAAACATTGTATATATATCAATGATAATAATCTGTTTGTTTATTTTTAAGTGTTATCAACAGTTCATCATCAAATCAATAAATTTTAACCCAATGAAAATCATTATACAATAAGTATATGTAAAAAGAAAGAAAATAATAATGGATAGTGATATCAACTAGAATATCTTCTTTTTTTCGGAACACAACAACTTAATAATGACAGATCACCGAAAAAGAAAAAAAAAGAAAACAAAATAGAACAGATGTCAACTTTACAGTTTCCCTCTCTTTCTCTCTGTTTCTTACCGATAGCTCTAAGAGATAAGTGAACGGATATATTTCTGTGATTACCGTATGAGCGAATGCATATAAATATATATATATCAGTGTGTTGAGTTTGTGTGGATGTACAATGTATACAGTTGTGTATACATAAAGCAAAATAATCATTAATTAAGTCACATTAACTACTAACTGAAATAATTGATAAACTGAACCCTAGAAATTTAAACGGTCTACTCAATTAAAGTTAAAATTCGTTTGTTTGTGTATGTGTATGGACATATGCATATCAGAATAGGTTTTGTGGAGAGTTTTTAGAAATTTCACAGGTAGAAATCATGAGTCAGTTGAAGCTAGACCACCATTGAAAACCTGGAAGCACTGGACGGCCGTTTCGTCCTGGTATGGGACTCCTCAGCAGTGTGCATCCACGATCCCGCACCACGCGGGTCTCGAACCCAGGACCTACTGGCCTCAATGGTGGTCTAGTTTCAAGTGACTCATGATTTCAACCTGTGAGACATATGCATATATGTACACGAGTAAATAAAAGTAATAAGTTGAATGACAAATGGAAAATAAGGAAACAAACATGGTAACAAGGTTCATTTACTTCATAAAATGATTGAGTTGTACATCAAGAATTGACTTTTATTAGCAACTATTACATATTCTTAAAGATTACATAACAATTTTGTCCTAATATATAGATTCATTAGTATAGTGTATATATATCTCTAAAGTTAGTTTGTGATGTACAATTATAAATTTCAATACCCCCCCCAACGTATTATAGAATGGAATCAAATTGAGAATGTATTCATTAAAAGTTCTTGTCCTATCAACCATCGTCCTTAGGCAAAAAAAAGCACACAGCTTGGATTCTAGTAAACTAATAAACAGGAAACATCAACAATACATTTTTAAAGATACCAAGTAGTAATACTTGGAATATTCAACAGAATAATGAATAAATTTGTTAATTATTAACTATGAACTTACTTCTTTCGCAAATACAATAATATCTTCATTAAATGATTCAGATGACCATACTTCCATATTACCTGTGTTTGTATTACCGGAAGCTGAAGCAGCAGCAGCAGCAGCTGACATTGGATCTCGTGGTGTACATGTGGCTAATTCACATTTTTCAAAGATTAATGCCAATAATGGAAATAATGGATGTCTAATAAAGAAATAAATAAACAATAAATTATAAGTTGATTTTTGTTCTCAATTTGAATAGTTAAGAAATACTACTTAAATAAGGAGAGGAAAAAATCGAATAATTTCAAAGCCTATTATGATTTATGGAATGATCTACTTATCATTGAATAATTGGTTCCGTCAATATTCATTTAAGATAGACAAATAGAGTGTATATATGTGTGCATGTGTGTGCATGTGTGTGTGAATCATTTCATAGTTCAAGTAAACATAACTATCTAGTTGGTTTTCACTTTGAAACTGTTTTTCTAAATAAATATCTATGTCATTCTAGATGAAAATCTATAACAAAATACACCGTCACATTCATTCATTTCTAATATAAATGATAACTATTTCATAATGATGAGCATATTTTGTTACTAGACACTCATGTAAACATACGTACTCACCTACCCATACGTATATATATATATATATATGAGTTTGTGTGTTTGTGTTTGTGTATGTGTGTGTGTAAACAATTACCTAAACAACTTACACACAATATCTATTCACTTTACCCAAAAACGATATACAATAAACAAAGATGAATTAAATTAAAAGTTAATTGTATTTTATTTTTCGTCGACAACACAAATAACAAATATTGTTAAGTGTAAGAAAGAAGTAAAAAAAGAGCGCCATAAAACTTTTAGATAATTAAAAACAACACACACACTCATAAATATCATTGTAGCTTTGAAAAATAAAGTGAAATGTTATGCAATAGGTTATATGTTGATAAGTTTGTAATTTATCCGTTACTCAATCGTTAATATTATCTAATAGTTAAGCGCTTGTGCGCGAATCTCATAGGTCCTGAACTCGAATCTCGTGGGGGGGGCGGAATCGTGGATGCACACTGCTGAGAAGTCCCATACTAGGACGAAACGGTCATCCAATGCTTTCAGGTTTTTTATAGTGGTTTAGCTTTCATTGACTCATGATTTCAACAATTGAAACCATTAATATATCTGTTGAATCAAGTAATTACAGACACTTTTTCCATACATTCAGTTGATGAGTGCTTCACATAAGAGTATAGATTACATTGAATATTTCATTCTTATCTTTAATCTTCATATCCGACAAGTTGAACTGTACTATAATGGTGTGTTCATAGAAGATAATCTGTAGATAATTTTAAATAATTCGAATGAAATGCTCAATGAGCCTTATAATGTGATATACAGAGTAATACTAGAAAATGCAAGATATTTCACATTTATGAAGAAAGAATGATCAATCTCACACACATAAGTGAATACATATATATCATTCAACTGAGTGTGTACGATATCTAATTTAAAGGATAAGACTTAAATTGTTTGCTATTTATAGTCGGTAAATATTCAATTTAGGTTAATAAATATAAACTGATTAATTGTTTTTACAGTTTTATCCAGTATACGTTGTCAGTCAGTCAGCTACAACGTAGGACCAGGCACATATGTGCATCGGTCCAGGTTGCCATACCGCATCAGCACAACAAGATGAATACCGGATTCATAGCATTGGTTAGGTCAAAGGTGGTAATATATAAGAGAAAGATTGCATATAGAGATATAGTACAAGAAGAAAGAATTGGTTCGTAGAAAGAAAGATATGAAGCGATTTTAATCTCTTAGTTTAAACGAAGACAGAGAGTGTATACACCGACGCCATTGTGATCGATTCTGAGCCATGTCACCAAGAGTATACGTAGATGACAAAATGAATATTAAATCGAATCATTTTTAACATTTGATCATGTTATTATATGTTAATCATCATTGATCTATGAGTAAAGCGTTCACATGTGAAACCGAAGTTCCTGGGTTAGAATCCAAAATGTGGGATCATGGATGCGAACAGTTAAGGAGACTTGTAGTGTCAGTTATTATGTTAAGCCCATATACTTTATTCTAACTTTCGGACAGTCCAGTCTATTCATTCTACTTTAGTCATATTTTGACCTTGTTAATTATTCGCTTATCAGTCTTGACTGTTTTTATATGAGCGTATATGTGTGTACACTTCATATCCCATGTCTCATCACATGTCTGTAGTTTATTTTGTCTGCCTATAAATATTGAGTAACGCCTGGCTAAAAATGAGTTGGCTTACCAGCCGTCTCCACTGCGCGGCATTTCGCTTTGTTCTATTACATTCACTTTGCATACAAATTATATGTATTCAAAAGCCATTCATGTTAATTGACTTATCTCAATTCCGTTATTGACTAACGTGATTTAAGTCGATGATTGTATACGAGGATAGGTGATAACAAACATATTCATACAATCTAAATGGAGTCAGATCCCCGGGCCACTAAAGACTCATACTAGGATGAGATGGCTGTTCAGTGCTTTCAGGTTTCCAATGGTGGTCATGATCCCAATCAAAGCAAAATATGTTAACCATGTTTTCAAAAGTAATTTACATGAATAAATGATTATCAAAATTTAAAGGTTGAAAATGCGTATTACCGTAGCTGCCCACAGTTTAATGGTAATATTTTGCTGATATTAATTTGTAATCAATGTTTACTGATTATTGAATGGTAGCAATGAATTCATTTTGTTTGTTTTAAAGACGAAGTTACTAAATTACACACACTAGTAATATAAAGTTATGCTTAAAAGGTATAATGTATCCGGTTACTTATAGATCTTAATCTGTATAGAATGGGAGTGGAGATATATATTCCTCGAAAAAGTGATATTAATATACTTTACTTTCAGTCATTCATTTTTGCCTATTTGAACCGATAGAGTCATTATAATACTATTTATCTACATAAATCAAACAAGGTGGAATGAGATTCGAACACTTGACCTTATGGTTGTAAGTCAACGAAATTCATAGCTCTTATTGTATAAAATTATGACAATTTCATTAAACGGTTCAGTTGGGCTATTAGTCTACACTATTCAAATTTACTTTCCAATATAAATACCACGGTTACAGATGTACATTAAGGAGCTGTTCCATACAAGAACTCAAGATATGTCCATTCCTTTCAGGTTTTCGAAGATAATGAGCTTAAGCGCTTTTCATGATCGATGTCATCAACACAATCTAATTTTATTATTTTTGCAAGAAAATACATATACATAAATCTATTAGTCACTCCATACTTAGTAAACATGTAAATAGCAACAGTCATCAACAGACTGACTACTAATGGATAGTAAACATTACAATTCACTACTCTACTTAAACAAATATCATTGAATTATTCTATTTTTTATCAGTATGGGGGTTGTGGAGATTGTTAATTTTCTGATTGAGATCATGAACTGATTGAACATCTGAAAGCATTGGATGGCCGTTTCGTCCTATTGTGGGACTCCTCAGCAGTGTGCATCCACAATCCCGTTCGCCAGATTCGAAACCAGAGCTTCAGTCTCGAGCGCGAACGTTTGACCTAATGGACCATTGAGCTGGCATCCAATGGTGTTAATGTCCAACCTCAACCAATCCACGAAATTTCGCGACCCTCTCATTAAAAATTCAGTATTCGATCATCAATGTGTACATATTTATTTGATTCCGTTGTATATTCATTAATTAAACAGTCAACTAACTAATTAACTGAATGTTTATTCACTTAATTGTATAAATAATTAAATAATTACATTTTTCTCATTCTCCCTATATTTTGAATGAATCGATATGTCAAATGAAAATACCACCATCACCATCATCATCATCATTAATTTGAATTAGCGTCATCAATATCAACTCTTAATGTGACAGGCTACACGTCATAGTGATATATGTGAGAGAGAGAGAGACAGAAGGAGAGGGAGAGAGAATGATCAGTCAACTAAAAAGATGAATAATTTCTAGGCGAATAATAATAATAACTTACCGGTGTAATCAAACTGAATATTGTTATGCATATGTTAGGTATATGTTTTATATCTTTGATATTGTACACTTATTGTTTATGTAATAACTAGTTATATTGATTAGACTAGTCAAATCGAGGTGTAATATGTATATGTAATGGGATTTCAATTCATTACTGTATATTTATTAGTTGAATGTTTAATTCACACTTTAACTATTCATCTATCACTTATAATAATTTATGGAACTTATTTATTCCGATTATGTTGATATACAGTTTGTTCATTTAAACCATTGTAAACGTCTACTTGTATATACATGTCATTATTAATGACTGACTTAATTAGGATTATCAGTATGAGGATTTATAGAGATATTAGCAGGTGTATTCACGAGTCAATCTAAATTAGATCATCATTGAATATCTGGATGCATTGGATGGCCGTTTCGTCTGAGTAATGTGCATCCACAGTTCTGAACTATTGAGGAGTGGCCCGAGATCGGACTCCAGTTAGATCGAATGAAATATACATATCGCCAATTCTTGTATATGATCATCGACTTAAATCATGTTGGTGAATAACGGAATTAAATAAGTCAAGTACGAGAATGAAATTCGAATATGTATAATTTATACAATCGTTGATTGAAACAGACAATCAGAGAATTGCAGCGAGTTGAGCGAAACAAAAGGGCGCGCAATGGAGAAGGCGTGTGAACCAACTCAATTCAATCAAGCGTGAATCAATAGTTATAGCCACATAAAAATAAGTTACAAACATGTGATAAATAGGATAAGAAGTGCATACGCATACTCTTGTTTATATAAAAACAGTCAAGGTTGATAAGTGAATAATTAACAAGGTCAAAACGTGACTCAAGTAGAATGGATAAATTGGCCTGTCCAACAGTTAAAATAAGTTATATGAGCTTAACATAGTAACCGACACTACATCACATTTGAACGAACAGGCCATCCACTGCTACCAGATGTTCAATGGTGGTCTACCCTTAAATTGACTCATGAATTCAACTGCTAATTAAGATGAAAAAATATGCCAATATGATGGTTGTATATTATTCTTTTACTATAAATGAAATGATATCTAAAATAATTCGATTTTCCCTATCTAACCTACT